TAATATATTACTGACCAATCTGCCCGTCTGTGGAACTCTTTACCAAATAAAGTAAAACAGGCTGATTCGTTGTCATTATTTAAAAAAAAAAAAAAGAATATTATGTTAACTTATAAGTGCTAAATGGTGTCATATTTTATTTTATATGTATAATGTTTATATGTGTGTATGTATGTATGTATATATGTATGTGTTGCATGTATGTATGTATATATTTGTTTGTCTATGTTTGTATTCATTGTATTTCTCTTTAAGATTGTTTGCACCCCTTCCTTCTCTCTTCTTTCTCTCTACGCAAAGGTTGCCTAGAATAGATAGCTCTCTAGCGATAAGGCCGCCTATTGTACTATATTCCTTCAATCTGTTTCAACTATGTAATGTAAAATAATGGTTTGCAATAAAGAATATTTCATTTCATAATTTTAACAGCTGTACTTATTAAAAATTGTCAGCGTATATTTGTATTATTTTTAAATATCTTAAAATAATTATAGCATGATTAATATGATCTTTTTTCTTTGATAAATGCAAGCATATATCAATTTTGATATTTTTAACTATTTTTAAACTAAGTTTGCATATATATGGTTGTATCATAAATCTTAAAATAATGTTATCCAGACCGATTTGAACCACAGCATCCCATGAAGAGGAGATGGAGATATTATACTAGAGATAAATGAACTCTATCAAGTGGGGCGGCTACTCGACACGACCAGAGAGAGTTAGGACGGGACTGCGCAAAAACGCTGATCTGCTAGATATTCTAAATAAGCCCGATATTAAATCAATGCGATAACTTGAATATATGATTTTTTAAACATTTATCTATCCATTATTATAACAGAAACGAAATTGAATGAAATTTTCTCGATAGTTTTAGAGATTTTGGGATTTTTCTTGAAAACTACTTCTGTTACATATGCAAAATAAATACTCACAGAAGAAAAATATAGTTTATTATCCGCCGTTAAAACAAAATTTACTTTGACTAATTATTATTCTCATAATAAATTAAATTAGATTGTAGCTTAGTTCTGTGGTTCTGTGCAAGAATAAGGTCGATTGGATATTCGATATTCAACCTTATTCGCTAGCAGTTACAGTAAGCCGCATGCATTGGCGGAGCTAGCGTAGGAATTTTTTGTCACTGCCCGGTCTTAAAGCCCAGGACCGACAGCTTTACGCGCGCTTCGAGACAAGGGGATAAAACACCGCCAACTTCCTAATTAAAAGCTGTTACTTGCAACATAAACTTACTAACAATTCTTAGCCTGACCCAGGACTCGAACCTAGGATATACGGATAAGGAGGCGTACATGCTAGCCACTACCAGGCAGACTAGGCAGTCTCAAAATAGATATAGGATAATTGGATGCAAATATCAAGTTTTAACGGTACAAGTGTTGCATATATGAATACTTGTTTTGCTTCTTTAAGATCATTTATATTAATCTGATGCAAACCAATGGTCCTCAAACTTTGACCTACAACACATTCCAGAAATAACAAATATTATATTTCCGCATTATTTAACTGTGAATTCTTAGTATTTTTTTTAATATATGTAAATATGCTAATATATAAAACGGAAGAAAGAATTCTAGTTTAAAAAAATATTTTAGAATATTACAAAGCACTAGTTTTTTGCTAGTGATAAGCGGAACGGGGTAGCCTATGTCCTTGCCAAATTTTATCGAAATCTGTTCAGCGGTTTAAGCGTAAAAAGGCAATAGACAAATTTACAATTGTAATATATTAGGTACTATTCAGGTTAGGATTTTCTATATTTTATTGCATCCATATTTCATACTAATATCATAAATGCGAAAGTTTGGATGGATGTTTGTTACTCTTTCACTCCAGAACGGCTGAACGGATTTTGATGAAATTTGACACAGAGATAGGTTATAGTATGGAAAATCCTTGCTTTGCTTGTTTTTGATGACATGGGGGACGTGGGGGTCTGGATGATGATTACGTCAGCAATATTTATTTAAAATAATTAATTAAAATTTAGTAGATTTTGATTTGCCAAATCAATGTTTTAAGAACACACATGACAACTACTTGTCTACGTCCAAATGCGAAATGCATGTTTAGGGATTCCCCTAAATAATTGAACGTCATATTTACGTAAACACAGTAGGGGGGAGTAAAAGCTTTGCTTACTTTTGCTATCAAGGGGGAGGGAAGGGTTAATCTATACATATAATAAAATTGTAACTAAGCCGAATCTGTACATTAGATATTTTTTGGAAATCTTATTGAAATAAACATTATTATCGATACAGAGGCCGAATCTATAGTTTTTAGAACTTTTGTCTGTTTGTCTGTCTGTCCGTCCGTCCGTCTGTCCGTCTGTCTGCAACCAAACCAAAAAACCGAAAGAAACCACCAGAGGGATTTCGATGAAATTTGGTGTGGTGATAGCTGGTTTACCGGGTCAACATATAGGATACTTTTTACCGTGGGAAAATATCTTATTCTTGAGAAAAAATATAAAAACTACAATGTAAGAGTATACTTATATGTAAAACCTAAGAATTTGGTTTTTAGTCATCTGAACGCGGGCAATGCTAGTAAATACTAAAATTATACTCACGTAATACTTGAATGCAGTTTTCAACATCTGCAGGGTTTAGTGCTTCAGTATAAAATGCGTCGATCACAATAGACCAGGAATGGTCTCAGTGACATTATATACCCGCTAAAATCATGGATGACAAATAAAGGCTAAAATGAAATCAAAAAAGTATACTTGTATGGCCCCTAATCTGACTGAACTGCTGTTCCGATTCTGACAAAACTTTCACCAATAGCAAACTACATTACCGGTCAGTGTTATCGGCTCTTATTCCGATAAAAATGAGTTTACTGATTAATATTAAGATAATAATTCAAATAAAACCTCTTTTTTTGCTTAAATGTTTAATTCTGATATATTTTTATAAATAAAAATATTATAAAGCATAAATATAAGAATAACATTTTTTTAATTCATTAAATTATTTTATTTATATAATTTAAATATTTAATTTAATTAACACTACAATAAAATTTTGATTTTATAATTATAATATATTTATCGCTAAATAAATTTCTGATTGCCATCAAATTGACTGACTTCAAAAACTCAATTCGGTTTTAAATTGTTGTTTTATAAATACAGTCTATCAAATCTAAGAGATACATTTTGACGTTTCCCAATTTTCATTACGCAATAACTTTGTTCAAACGTATACACATGGTTTCAAGTAATGAATCATAAAACTTCCAAAAAATACTAAGTTATTTATATAATTATCGTTACGTGTAATATTCCTGTACAATAATCTAAAGTTGAAACTAGTAAAACTAATTTAAAACTAAAATAATATTTTAAATTGTAAATTAAGTTGACGGCATTACAATGTTACGTCATTAGGCTCTTTACGGTAGTGTCGTAATTTCAATTTCCTGAGTATCCGAAAAATCGTTAAAATATTAGAATATTCATATGTTAGTACTCCAGTCATGGGTGTTTATATTTCTAATATGTATGTATTTAAAGTTATATATGTGTAGTGTATCAACTATCTGATATCTATAACACAAGCCTCGTAACTTACCATGAATTGTGTGTTAATGTCTAAAAAAATAATAATGTAAATACAGTAAGAACTATTTAAAGTTTTATTTTCATACTTATCTATCATTTATTTCAGCGAAAGCAATAACTATTTTTGAATCCAGTTTTAATTAACCTAATCATACTAAATTTTATGCCGAAATAATTTACTTAGTATTAATTTTGCACTACCTTATACATTTTCTTTATTGCACTAAATGAGTTATAAAAACAGAAGTCACGACGACCGCCGACAGAAGTGAAAACTTAAAACTATGAACAAGCAGTTGTTATTTTTGGATATTCAAATTAATTGTTTGAGTTTAAATTAAAATGTCAAATAGGTCGTTGAAACACTTTTTTGCGCAACACCAGTAAATAATTTGAAAAAGTTTCTAGAAACCAGTCAAATATTCCTTTTACAAACAGAGAGTTGTGACATACGGGATGAAATCTTTAGCTATTTTTGTTCTGATACGCCAAAGAACTATAACTTATTAAATAAAACTATCTTTTCGGATTATTTCGCGGATTTAAATAAATCGAAAATAAACCGCGAAATAATCCGAAAAGATAGTTTTATTTAATAATGTCAAACATTCGCGTAAATCTAAGAAAATATTATGAAGTATAACTTCTTACGTGCGTACACACACGTTTTTGATCAAGTCACTTGCTAGTTGATAAGCAAAAGTCACCTACCTATTGTAAATCCGGTGTTACAATGCATCTGAAACCTTAGTCTATTCGGTGATCATGATTTCTGTAAAGCATTCGAAACGTAGGAACCAAAAAAAAAATCCGCGAAAAAATCCGAAAAGGTAGTTTTATTTAAAATTCACGGAACGTTTTACGGTAACTAGGCGAATAAAATAATCTATACTAATATTATAAACAGGTAAACTTTGTGAGTTTGTGAGGTTGTAGGGGGTAATCTATGGATCTACTGAACCGACTTAGATGAAATTTGGTAAGAAGATAGTTTGAGATCCTGGGAAGGACATAGGATTTTTATCCCCGAAATGATCCTTTAAGGGGTTGAAAATGGGGATGAAAGTTTACATGGGGAATCAACCTAGGGACGAACCCAAGCGAAGCGAGATAGAGTCGCTCGTTTAAAATTAATTTGATTGAATGATACTTTTTGACATGTCACAACGTGTTCAATAAAAGACTTCAAACGGCAGAAGTTAAAAGAGTAAATTGTCAAATAGCTTGCAATGTAACTGTTGATCAACCGAAAATCACACCGTGTGAACACGATTTAAACTTAGAAAAAAGTTGCTAATACTTTTGTGAATTTAGAAATTGTCTTCATGACGTCCAAAAACACAATATAAAGACGTACTTCGAAGTCCATACAAACTTGGACAAAAACTAAAACCGATTATCGATAAAGTAGAGTAGGCATATTATCTTTTTCCTTCTTATCTATGAAAAATGCTTCAATTTCACATTGGGTCTTATCTTTAGTTTCCGGCAAATATATAAACAGGTATAATGTGCACAGACCACATGTAATACCGTACAATAAAAACGAACCATCCAATCCTAGCATTTCAAAGACAATTGGAGTTACTTTATATAAAATTGAATAAGAAACAGTAATAACTATAGATATTATTGTATAGCTGCTAGATTGAAATTTTGTGGAGAACAGTTCTCCATATATGGTCATAGACAAAATCATTGGTCCACAACTTATCGAAATCGTATAAGCTGTGAGTAACCCAATAATAATATAATTATTTTCACTCAAAATGTGTCTTTTAGATAAATAAAGGTATAATGATACAATTATTAAGAAAGATACACCTATAAATGAAGAAGACATGTACAGAGTTCGTCTTTTCAAAATTTTAGCCAAATAAGACCCAAAATACATACTAATAACTGTGACACCGTTTAAAATTAACATAGCCATATAAGCTGTTGATTCAGATGTTGTGATTGTCTTAAATATATCTAGAATAAACAGACTGCAAATCATTTTTCCTGAAAACTGATATTGGAGGACTGCCACAATCGCAAGAACCATTGGCTTATAAAATTCTGGTGTTCGTATAGTACTACAAAAGCTCATTTTGACTTCAGTTTTTTTTCTCTCCATTTCCTCCCGCTTGGTCGAAATTATTTCCCGCAATTCCTTTTCAGACGTATAACCATGTATCCATCTAAATGATTTTCTACATTCATCAAAACGACCTTTACTCGCCAACCAATATGGAGATTCTGGCCACGTAAACACTGTTAGCGTGTAAAATGAGCAGATGAATCCAACAATAGTTATATTTCTCCAATGGAAGAACGTGCCAATAGCATTTGCAATCCAAATGCCCCAGAAAAATGCTGCTCCAGTCACAGTCAGGAATGTGCCTCGTAATCTTGGGCTAGTGTATTCCGTGATGATTATAATAGCGACAGTTAAATTACTCGTGTGCATGTACCTGAAATCATATGGAATAAGTATTTAATCTTCATCTTCATGCGTGAATCCAGATTATGTTAAGAATTAAAGTGTAGACAGTATTGTACTATTTAAATTTCCTAATGTAAGTGAGTATTGTTTTTTTTGGAAATAACACCCCTTAACCCGAATCTTCCATATTGTCTAGCGATTATATATTTAGGGTATAGCCCTACTCCTATGTGAGACAGCCTTCCTTAATAATTCGGATAATACTTTCTTAGATTGATGCGGATATTTGACGTTTAATATAAAACTATTTTTATCACATTTTTCCTCAGGTGAATCTCTCCCGTGACTATAATTATTGTAAAGTATTCGAAACGCCGTAAACCAAAAATCAAATTACATCCGCGAAAAAATCCAAAAGAGTAATTTTTATTTAATAAATTGTAAATGACTGCCTCAGTGGTTTGGTGGCTAACATGTACGGCTGTAGATTCGAAGGTCCTGGGTTCGAGTTTGGACCTTGAAAACCGGATTGGACCAAGTTTAATTACTTAGTTTTTCTGTCAAGAAAGTCTCAGTCGTAGCCCAGAATTGTTAAGTTGGCGGTGTTACACCTCCTTGGAGAGCGCCTCAAGCCGTGAAGTCCTGCGACTTAACTTTAACACACTAACACCGGTCGTGTCGAACTATCGTCCCATAGGACTTGGAAAGTAAAAAGAAATAGAGAGTGCACTTGTGTCTGCACTACCACTTGTGCACTATAATATCTCCTGCAGATGACTTATCTCAGTAAGATTGGCTATCGTGACCGACTTCGGTCAGCAGACATCATATATGCAAAAGTTTGTATATGTAGTATGTTAGTTGGCTGGCTGTACGGATTTGGGTAAAATTTAGTATACAGACTATTGTTAGCCACCCGAGTGAAGCTAGTAACCTTTAATAAATAAATATGTTGGGACATTAACACACAACACCATCTAGTTCCATGGTAAGCTACGAGGTGTGTGTTATGGATACCAGATAGCTGATACACTACACATACATAACTTTAAATACATATATATTATAAATATAAATATAAACACCCATGACTGAAGTACAAATATTCGTGCTCGTCACACAAATGAATGCCCCTAGCAGGACTCGAACCCGCGACCGCTGGCTCAGCAAGTAGGGTCATTACAATCTGAGCTAAACGTGTCATCATTTCAATCTTTACAATTAATACAAAATTTTCAAAACTAAATTTCAAGTACTTTCAGAGAGAGACTAGATCGTTCAAACAAACGAAACTCCACAATATAAGTATTGATCTCATAAAACAATACAAGGCAGTATATGTTGCAGAACAATTAACCTATATTGAATGATTATTTTTTAACCTTCCGGGCTTTTGAAGGTTAACTGTTAATGGCGGAAAAATCGTTCTGTTTGTTTAATTTTCTTGTTAAATTAAACATGTAGGTAATTTATAGACCGTGCAAAGTTGATAAAACACAATTTTATTCAATATAAATATATGTACATATACATGTATTATTTAAATAATTTACTAATATTTATGGGTTTTAAAATGTATAATTTACGCATTTCAAGCTAGTTTAATGTTTATTTTATTGGCGTCATATCTTCAAGTCGATAAAATTTAACAACAGAAATGAACAGCAAACGAAAAAGAAGAGATTGACCGTAGAATAAGAGGGAACAGCTTCACTTATTGTTTTCGTGGGAATCTATACTAATATTATAAAAAGGTAAAGTTTGTAAGTTTGTAAGGTTGTAGGGGGTAATCTCTGGATCTCCTGAACCGATTTAGATGAAATTTGGTAAGAAGATAGTTTGAGACCCTGGGAAGGACATAGAATACTTTTTTTCCCGGATATCGTCCCTTAAGGGGGTGAAAATGGGGATGAAAGTTTGAATTGGGAAGCAAGTCGCTAGTCTATATATAAATAGTTAAAGACAAAACAGTTCAGTACATTTTTCTCCTCTGTTTGTCAAACGATTTAATTCTTATTTGTTATGATTGATATCTTATTTGTTGAGATGAGATATTTTCCCGCACTAAAAAGTATACTATATGTTGACCCGGATAACCAGTTATCATCATATCAAATTTCATGAAAATCTGCCCAGTGACTTTCGTAACGCGGTCACAGACAGACACAGACGAAAATTCTAAAAACTATAGATTCGGCCTTTGCATCGATTATAATGACTATTTCAATAAGATTTTCCAATAAATATTTAATGTACAGATTCTACTCAGAATTTTATTATATGTATATATGCGTATAGAGTAGACCCATAGTGCGTCATGTTTAAATAAAAATTATAAAGTGTGGAATGTTAGCAATGCCACAAATGTGAACCTTTATTGATTGTATATCATAGACTAAGGCGGAAATACTAAACGCGTTGATGTTTTTGTTTACTTTACGACGTACGCGATATACTCACTAACAGTAAAGCGGTTTCAATAGTTGTTCTTTTAAAAATACATTATGTAAATTAGCCATTTAACGTTTTAGAAAAGCTTTATATTAAAGTCGCTGCTCTAAAAACTATGTATGAAAATCAGTCCACAATTGGCAAAGATATTCTTTAAATTGCCATAACTTTTTTATTTATGAACCGATTGAAATAAAACAAATACCAAATATTAAGTGAAGTCCACCACTATACATTAATGGAAACTGCATCCGAATCGGTTAAGCCGTTTCTGAGATTAGCGCGAACAAACGCACAGACAAACAAACAAAAATTCTAAAATTCATTGTTTAGGGTTATATTGCGTTAAAAAAGACCCCCAAGAATAGAGAGAAAAACTCAAAGATCTATCATGTACAGACAGCGTATATACAATTTTATTGTATGTATAGATATAGATACACACACACGCACGCAACCCAAACACATACACACATACATACGCACACACACGCACGCAATTTTTTGAACTAAATCATAAAATCAAAAAATAAAGTTAATAAAATTATTAAAGTTCCTAAATTATTATTATTTTAACTTTTTTTCGATTATATGCTTTTTACCTATTTCTCCTTCCTTTTTTTCGTTTTTTTTTAAATGAACTGTAAATATATATTGTTTTTTAATTTTTTTATTTAACCTTAACTACTGTAATATTCTCTGTTTTCATATATTAACTTCTTGGTTAGGTTTATTTATTAATATTATAAATGTGAAAGTGTGTTTATTTATTTCATTGTCTGTCCTTATTTCACGTCGAAACAGAGTGACGAATTGGCGTGATTTGTGGAAATAGTTGGAGGACTAAAGAGTGACATAGGCTACTTTTTGAGAGATTATCTCATTCCCACGGGAAAACACGTTATAATACAAGCCAAAAAATATTTATGGTCAGAATCATTTGAAACTTGGTATTGATACTCTTCAATACAATTAAATAAATAATTGTTTAGCAATTTTAGAATTTCATCAGATAATTTTTTTTTCATTTTATTCAGAGTAAAATAGGGGATGAAAATTTGTATGAATCTTACCATTTTTTAATTTTTTTGTAGTTTTAGCGCGAGCAAAGCCGCGGATTCTGCTAGTATAATTACATTCATTTAAATTGTTGTTGTAATTTTGTTTTCTGTTTCTGTACTTATTTAAATAAAAAAAATACATACCCTTGAATCACTTCAACTATAATGATGTGATACGCGTTCGAGCTCGCGTAGTAGCAAAGGAATACCACGATGGAGACAAAAGTCGTTATAATTTGTGGTATTTTTCTTCCGAAACGTTCAGTGAAGAATGGTAGAATTATGACCCATGGAGTATTGCTAATGGTAAGGGTGGCAACTGAAAAAGCAAAAAAAAACAGTTTTATAATTTTAAACTTAGTTTTTTTTAGTTTGTTAGGTTTTAGGACATGGTAGCTTTAACAAGATGTTGTTATCTATAGGTATATCTAAAGGCCTATACACACCATGTCTTATAAACGCGCCGATTGTGCGCGTATCATGAATGTAAGTATTCAGAAGTAGATGAGGTTTTATTATTTTATTCAGAGTCATAGTATGCACACACACGCATAGATATAGAATGACATATTGCATGAATACATAAGACAAAACGCAACACTTTTCTCGCCATTTTTCTATTCAAGATGACAATTTAAGGAAACTTAAATAAGTATTTTATATCAGAATGACAACTTAAAGAATCAAATAATTATTTTACAATTATATATACACGTAAACCCTATTTTTATATAATTAATAATTTATATTATTGTTAGTGTAATATAAGTCTTTTATCATGTCGATAAATTTAAAATGAACAATTTGCTTATGTTCTTCACCATAAAGACGTGCGTCGACGTTCCGTTCACTCCGCGTCAAAAGACCGTGCGTTAAAAGTTCGTGTGCATCGGCCCTAAGAATTGTTATATAGCTATTATCATTAGTTATATGTGACACCTGCATACATACATATATTAAATAAAAGTTTTTTTTTCGCGGTTTTATTGTAATTTTTTTGTGTTTCGAATGCTTTATAGCGCTCATGGTTACGGGAGAGACTGAGGTTTTAGAAGTCATGTTACATATAGTATCGACCCACAAAATTATACAATAATTTAGAAGAAAGTTAGTTTCATTTAAAATATCAAATATTCGCGCAAATCTAAGAAAGTATCTTGAATAACGTTTAAATTTAGTGAATTATGATCAGTTTTCGGTCACGAGGCGATTATTAGAGGTACATATTGTTAGTTATATTGTATTTAGTTCTTTTCGACGTCCCATTGCTGGGCGTGGGCCTCCCTTCAATACGAGGGGGATCAGACCATAGTCCACCACGCTGGCCAAGTGCGGGCGGACTGAGCTTCGACTTGTTAGGTTCTCTCAGACGTGCAAGTTTCCTCATGATATTTTCCTTTACCGTAAGGCAAGTGGTAATCATGTTAGAAATGATTCGCACATGAAAATGTCAGAGGTGCGTGACCCGGGATTTGAACCCGCTTCACTCGGTTTTCCAAGCGAACGCGATACCACTAGGCTATCATTGTTAGTTAACTATATGTAGGTAAATATTGTATTTTTTAATATTAGGTATCTGTTTTCAATACATCGTAAATATTTACTAAAACTATATCATATATAAAAATCATTATCAAAATAAGTCAAGTGCGAGTTGAGCTAGCGTAATGAGGCCCATATTTCACAATTTGTTTTTATTTATTTAAAATTTCTAAGGTGATAACAATAAGTTAGAATTAACATACAAATGTGTTGAAATTTTTACTATATTATCTTCAATATTTAACTAACCTCAAAGGAAAAAATATGTAAAATAAAAGTTGGACGAATAATATCTGGGATTTTTTTACAACTGTCTCGGTCTTGGCTAGCATGTACGGCTGCACATCTGAAGGTCCAGGGTTAGAGTCCCGGGTAGGGCCAAGTTTAGTTATTGAGTCTTTCTGTTTAGAAAGTCTTAGTAACATCCCGGAGTTGAGAAGATGGAAGTTAACCCCCGTACTTCCGAGAGAATCTAAAGCCACCGGTTCTGCGCCTGGTCTCTTACCGCAAGTGTCGAATTGTCGTCCCATTGGAATTTGAGAGTAAAGGGAATAAATAGAGCAGGTTGTGTGTGCTGTCTCTCTCACACGCTGCACTATAATATGTCTTACAGTTGGCTAGTCTCAGAGAGATTGGCCACAGTGGCCAAAATTGGACGGGAGGATAATATGGTTTTTTACTATTTCCGTTCCTATAGGTCATAGTCTGATGTAAAAAAGTCTATAACGTTCCTCTTGAAATAAGATATAAAAACTTTTTTAAATTTAACTGACAGTTTCTAAAATTCACGTTCAAACAAACAAAAAAAAATCATTTTATATATGTCGCAGGGAAATTTTAAAATCCGTTAAATTATAATTTCACTATTTTGTTTCCCAACAAGACAAAGTAAGTAGGGAAACATAGTTTTTATTTAAAATGTCAAATATTCGCGTAAATCTAAGAAAGTATTATAATTTCACGAGTGAAATTATAATTACCCAGAGTATTGTCAATCTTCTTTTCTTACAATATAACGGAACATTTTTAGGTAAGTTGTAAAAAGGTCACTGATTGGTCCGATTTGGACTTCTTTTTTGACGCGCAGCATCAACTATAGACATTTTAAAATAAAGGAATGGAAATTTAATATTTTAAATTATTAATCATTTTATTATTATTCATAGGCTTATTAGTGAGTATAATTAGTTAACAAAAATAATCTCAACTTGCGATATATGTGTTTAATAAAATATGATAATAGTTTTTACTCGGAATTATTTATATTACCGGCGATGACACAGTTTTTCGCATTAATATTAAGTTTTTTCCTTACCCACATTTAAAATATTATATTTATTGTTGATAGCAGGGGTTCTAGGATTGAAATAAAAAAAAATCAGTGGGTGCGAAGCGTAGCGTACCTTTTACCAGCGTTAATCTACGTTATGCAAGTCGGATGTACCTAATAGAAAATTGAAAATTATTCTACAATTTAAAAAATAATTTACCTAATTCTATACATATGAAAATCTTAACACGGTTTTTAGTATTTTCTCAGCTCTCTGTCAGAATTAAAGGTTTTAAAAGGTCAGGTTTTAAAAAACTTTTAATTGATTGATTTACTGAATAAGGCTTATTATACTGTCACGGAATACATCGTAGATATCAACGTGTGGAACTAACGTTTGATTGGGCCTCACGTAGGATAAATAAATAATTATTTGTATTACATTATTGTACACAATTAATATTTTAAAAGAGCAACTGTTGAGTTTCTCGCCGGTTCTTCTCAGCAGAACTGCATTCTGAGCTGGTGGTAGCTTCCTCACGGACTGACTACACTGACATTTAATTTAAATTTAAAATTGACGATTCAAAAGAGCTTGTAAAAGTTGATTGGTCGATTCAGTGATAGCAGTGTATCGATCGAATCAAAACGGACCGAGGCTTGCCACCATATCCTCATATTGCTTATATTGACAATTTAATTATGGTAATTACAATTTCATTGAATGTGTTTAGGGAAATTATAATTTACCTAAAAATGTCCCGTGATATTTTAAGAAAAGGTGGTGATTGACAATACTCCGGGTAATTATAATTTCAGTAGAGAAATTATAATTTAACTTTCAATTTCCCTGCGACAGATACACTAGTGTTCGTCTAGCGATCGAAATTCGATCATAATCATTATTGTAATGAGTAAAAGAAATATTTGTTGTATGTTTGTGTTTCCAAAATTATTTTATTGATAACACTTAATCTCGTCAATAGCTACTAAACAAAGAAAAGAAAATCGGTTGACGAACAAAGAAGAAAAAGGTACTCAACTGTCTTTCCTATTTCTATACGGATCCCTAAAACCACTAGACATAAGGATATATAAGGATTCCGAAAACTACATGACAATAAAATAACAAATTAATTATTTACATTACAAATTAATTATACATTTGTATAACTTGTTCTAATCTCAACTCGATGAATAATATCCAACAAACGTGCATTTATTATAATAATAAATAAATTTACTATCGCAATGTACAATATGTTAACATGATTACGTCGATGGTTTAGTGACTTTAATTCAGATTCGGAGGTCCTCAGTTCGAGTCTCGTCTTGGGACTATTAACCCGGATATGTGTTCACTTTGTGGTAGGAGGGGAGAGGGGGGGGGGCTATTGGCCTCTGGTAATCCAGTCGTGCGTGGAGCTAAGTAACACACACTGGGAGACACCTTGATTGTGTACTCTGCTTCGGCAAACCTGCCGTCGAGGCATTTTGGTTGAGTGCGGAAGCGATCGTGTGACGCCCTATTACTATGGAGGAGGTTGTATTGGGTTAGGTTAGGTTAGGTTTTTAGTTTCGTCGGGGCGTCGCAGTTGAATGCGTAAGCGATCCTGCGACGCCCCATTAAGACGGGGGAAGGCTTTGTTGGGTTTTAGTGGGTAGTACTGGCTTTATTACGCCGGTGAGTCCCACACCTCGTGCGTAAATGCATTTCCCAACGTTAAAAAAAAAGGTTAGGTTTTTAGTGGGAAGTACTAGACAAACAGATGGTAAAAAACGTATTAAACTGTTTCGTATTTTCTTATTTAAGTATATATCGATACTGCAGGCAAGACGGGTGAAGTAACTAGTAAATTAAAAGATGGAAAAATAAGCAAGCGTAAGTATTATAGAAAAAAAAAACACCTGGCATTGTATTTGCCTGCAGCTCGGCTCGTGGGCAGTGCGTCTTAAATTTATCTTTTTAATCCCGGGCCCGACCCGGGACTTGAACCCAGGACCTCCGCAACTGGTGGAGGTATATAAAAAATCTTTAATTGTGCTTTTAGCAAAATATTATCCATTATAAAAATATTTTATTGAGTAAAGCGTATTACACTGTTTAAGAGTTTCTTGTTGGTAGAAATGTGTGGAATTGAGAAATATTGACTCATAGGCGAGCTATCTGTATTGTTATGTTAATAAAATAAATAAAATGTAGTTCGATGATATTTAAAAGGGCCACTGTTGAGTTTCTCTTTGGGTCTTCTCAGCAGAACTGCTTTCCGAACCATTGGTAGCTTTAAGCTATCACGGACTGACTACACTGACACTTTTAAAATTAAATTGACGATTCAAAACTGCTTGTAGAAGTCTAAAATTGAATAAACTTTAATATCATGACGCTACCCTATTTCTAAGATATCACGAAGAAACACGTCCATTATAGCTATTTCTTTAAGTCGGTAAATCATACTTACATATCCAAGAAGTCAAATCGCTGTCAATTATAGTAGAATTTGCTTCTCTATTTATCTGCGGTACTATCACTGTGGGTGCTCCCACACAAAGACCGGCCATAACAAACTGTATCCACACGGAACTGCATATCAGGACCTGGACAAGAAGTATTATGTGTTGCTTACATTATTATTGTAAATTTTAGAAAGACATATAATAATAGAATAAATTCTTAGATAATATAGAAATCTAACTAAAATCAATTAATTTTTTTTTTGATAACGCTAAAGCTCGTCAATATCTAATAAACAAAAAAAAAGAAAATCGGTTGACAAACAGAGGAGAAAAAGGCACTAAACCGTTTTGTCTTTGCCTATTTATATAAATTTATAAATTGTACTTATTTTGTTACATGAAGAATATCACATGGAATCTAATCTCTGTATGTAAAAGTTATCCCAACTTTTTTATAAAATAACTAGCATTGCCCGCGGCTCCGCCCGCGTTCAGATGACCAAAAACCAAATTCTTAGGTTTTACATATTAGTTTACTCTTACATTGCAGTTTCTCTATTTTTTCTCAAAAATCATATATTTTGCCGCGGTAAAAAGTATTCTATATGTTAACCCGGATAACCAGCTATCACCATTCCAAATTTCATCAAAATCCCCCCAGTGGTTTGTCCGTGATGCGGTAACAGACAGACGGACAGACAGACAAAAATTCTAAAAACTATAGATTCGGCCTCTGTGTCGATAATAATGACTATTTCAATAAGATTTTCCAAAAAATATTTAATGCACAGGTTTGGCTCAGTTAGAATTTTATTATATGCATAGATAGTGGGCACGCCGAGAGCGTTGGGTTAGCTAAGTCCCAAGAGAGAGGGGGGAATTCCCGGTATATTCAAATGTATAATAAGGAACGTAAAATAAAACCTATTTACTTATCGTATGTAAGCAAGCTGTTAAAAATAATTAAGTATTAAAGAAAGATACATAACTGTTATAGCGTGAATTCATTTTTCAATTAATTAAATTCGCATTGATTTGTTTATCACTAACTTCGCGTTACTGACGTACAGCTAAATTCACGTGGTAACTAAGTAAATCAGCGCCACTCGTGGCAGTTTCTGGAACTAGAGCTCGAAAAATGTCTATATTCTTCATGTGTTGTTATACAAATTAAAAATAAATTTGAGGATAATAATAATTAAAAAATATATAGGCGCATTAGAGCCTTCATCATAAATATTCATGGGTTTGGGCGTGAGTATATGATATGGGCGAAGAAACACAAAATTTTGAACTGATAATCTCTCAACGACCGCGGACGCGCCGGCGTTACAGTTAACAATAGATTTCTTAGAAATTTAATTAATTTCGTAGAAATTTACCTGGAGGTGTAACAAACAACACTTTATAAGAGTTAGCATAAATTTCAAAACATAACAATTGAGCAATCGAAACTAAAATGATTGTAGGCGATTCGTCGCTGATTTGTGTGGCGCTGGCGCCTACCATCTTGACTCCTTCTCTATCTTCACAAGATGGCCACCCCGCTCACACAACTACCAAGTTTAGATTTTTACGATCTTTGATTTGTTGGACTTGTGTCCGCCCCGAATAGCACAATAACTACTAAAACATTATAAAAATTCAAGAAAAAAAGAATAAAATATTAACGTTGGCTAATAACTATTTATATCTATTTAAATAACATAATATATGTGCGTAGGCACTATCTGTAACAAGTATATAATGACCTTTGAAAAATAAATCTGTTTTTAGAAATTTTGTCTGTCTGTCTGGGAACGTATCACGAGAAAACTACTGGACAGATTTTGATGAAATTTGGTATGATGGTAGCTGGATATCCGGGTCAACATATAGAATACTTTTTAATGTGGAAAATATCTCATCTCTGAGAAATCTATCCTAAACTAAACATGATATTCTTTCCGTTGCTATCTTCAAAGATTCTTATTTTTACTAATTTGTTTTCAAATATGTAAAATGTTTTCTCCTAGATTAAAACGGTTACCTCACTAAAAGTTTTATGAAAACTCGTTTACTTTCTCAGATTTTCTAAAATATTTGACATTTTTCGAGGCCTGCGTTATATACCAGATAATACTTGCTGTGCCAGCGGTCGCGGGTTCGAGACCCGTTGGGGACATGCATTTGTGTGGTAAGCACGAATGTTTGTACTCCAGTCACGGGTGTTTATATTTATTATATGTATGTACTTATTTAAAGTTATATATGTGTAGTGTATCAACTATCTGGGATCCATAACACAGGCCTCGTAGCTTACCATGGAACTAGATGGCGCTGTGTGTTAATGTCCCAACATACTTATTTATTAATTACTAGCGACTCACCCTTCTTCGCTCAGTTAGTCCCTAGGTAGTTTTTGACGCTTAGTATGGCATAGATTTTTTCTTCGTGAATTTTCCGATGTTTTTAATTGTTATTCTGCTATTGGAGGTGAAGAAGACAAATCCAATAAAACAAAGATCATAAAAATCGGTTCAGCAGTTCTCGAGTTATAAGTGTCGTAACAAACCCGACTTTATTTTATATTTAAAAAATATTTTTTTATATAGATAAGTAAATTCTACTCATATATGTTTTCCTTAAATTTTCGATAACGATAATACATATATTAATATTAAACTCAACATATACATTTTACAAGACCACTTAATATAATACATAAATCTTTGATAGGTACATATTTTAATTTTAAATTAGATTTTTACGACAGTTTAGTATAAAGGCAAACATTTTCTAAAAATCTTAATAAAATATAAAAAAAATATTAATTTTTACTTTATTTTTAAATTTTAGACATTTAAAAAAGGTCATTGACACAAGTAACTAATATTAATAATTTCTACTTCATACTTGTCTAATCTATTTAGTCTATATACGAGTACATATATATATACATATACACACATATATATATATATATATATATATATATATATATATATATATATATATATAAATGAACCCCTATTTCTCCTCGTCACGCTATATCGTGAGAACGGCTGTACCTATTTCATTCATCTTTTTTAAAATGTTTTCTAATACTTCGTAAAAGGTTCTTACATTTAAAAAAATTGCGCAGAAACTTAGAAAATGGGGATGAAAGTTTGTATTGGGAAGCAATCTAGGGACGAACCCGAGCGAAGCGAGGGTGAGTCGCTAGTATAATATTAAACTTTTTTTTATTGATAACACTAAACTCTTTTCTTAATATGCAATTTTAATATTTTGTTTCATAAGTGCAATAAAGAATATGTATACTAAAGTTCGTTAATAGCTACTAAGCAATAAAAAAAGAAAATCAGAGGAGAAAAAGATAGGCACTGAACTGTTTAGCCTTTGCCTATTTATATGTAGATATGTGATAAAGAACTTATTTTAGATTATTATTTAATAGGGACTCATTTAGTTGGTCAAAAGCAAAAAGTAAAATAAATTATTTCTCTCTCTCTCTCTCTCTCAACCTCTCTCTCTCTGTGTGTGTGTATTTTATAATATAAATCCATAAATATTTTTTTTAACACCAAAGGGTTGCAGGAAGATATCTCTTGTATCTACACATATTTTTTTGCTGTAAATAAATAGGCAAATATCGATTGGTTAACCGATTTTCTTTTTTTATGTTTAGTAGCTTTTAACGAGCTTTCGTGTTACAAAATAAAATAATTCTGGAAACATTTAGTTTTTTTTTATATACATAGGTAAATTCTATTCGTATATATATTTATAAAATTAAGAATTTTGTTTGTTTAAACGTGAATCTCGGGATCTATCAGTTAAATTTGAAATACGTTTTAACGTTTGTACTATACATTTCTTAGAGTTGAGATATTTTTTCGCACTAAAAAGTTTCTTAAATCTTGACCCGGATAACCAGCTATCATCATACCTTTCATCATTTGTCGAGTGTTTTTCACGTGACGCGTTTTCAGAGAGACAGACAGACAGCCAAAAATCCTAAAAACTATAGATTCGGCCTCTGTATCGATAATAATGATTATTTCAATAAGATTTTCCAAAAAATATTTAATGTACAGATTTGACTCGGTTAGAATTTTATTATATGTATAAATAAATCTCTCTCTCATTAAAATGAGGAACGTTAGAGACTTTCTTACATCAGACTATGACCTATAGGAGCGGAAATAATAAAAAAAAAATATGAAAAAAATTAGAAAACAGTTTTTTTTAAATATATTGGAATTTCGGCTACTGAGCACTATAAATAAATAAGAACTAAAAAAACTTACGTACTTGCTTAAATATCGATTTCGTCGTCGGTTTTCCATCATTGACATCTTCTTCATTGGTTTTTACTTCTTGATATTGATCCATTTTTATTTTTTCTTGCTTAGCAATATCCATTTTTTTTTAATTTATAGCACGTGTTCGTATTTAATGTAATTTTTCAGTTAAAATTTTCATTTCAAGCTTGAAATAATTCCGTGTAAATTAACACCACTTTTATTTATTAGTAAGTAATGTAAAATTTAATTAAATACTTATAAAATTTAATTATATTTAAACATATAATTAATTACACATTTTTTTCAAGTTAATTTAAAATAAGCGTCACACGACCGTCAGACGCTAAGCACCCTACGAAACCTTAGTGGATTGCGAAGAAAATGATTCGACGCTCGAGAAACCGGTACAAAACCACTTTAAATGGAAGGAAAATTTGAAAAATGAGTGAATTTTATAATAAAAATTATTATAAAATTAATATATAATAAGAGTGAATTTAATAATAAAAAGATCTCCGCAACAGTCTAGACAGACAGACAGTCTAATAAATAATAGCAGATCCTCCACCACTCATGCAATTATAAAACGTCTATCTGTTTGTTTTTTGCTTAGAGATAAGGTTATACTAGTAATGTTGATATATTTTTATTTGGCTATTTTTATTTCAGGCAGTGGTAGCGCAGTGGTAATGCACTCGCGGAAAACTAAACGAAGCGGGTTCGAACCCCGGGTTTTAGACCATTATATATATGCATATGGAACTATTTTTAACATGATTACTGAAGGACTTTCCGTACTGAAGGAGAACATCGTGAGGAAACCTGCATGTGTGAAAGAACCTACCAAGTTGTTTGCAGACATGCTCAGTCCGCCCGCACTTGGCCAGCGTGGTGGACTATGGCCTGATCCCACTCGTGATGGCACGCCCACCCTCAACAGTAAGCTCAATACAGATGGCATTTTTTTTTGTGTATAACCCATATAAATAAAAAACAGTTACCGCATATATGAAAAATCATCACTTGAGAATGGCTTGACTGATTTATCCCACAACGTACGATCACCTTGTCGTGATGGGAGGGCTCAGTAGTGGCAAGCAATACAGCCGAGTGCGAAGCCAAGAAACGCACTGGGAGGAGGTCCACTTCGGTGGTCAGTGTGCTATGCGAGTTGCTCCTGGTACTTCTTTGGTAGCAGAGTGGACTGTGGAGTAACCCCATGGCTGTTGTGGTCTGCTTCGGCAGACCTGCCGTCGGGGAGTCGTGGTTGAGTGCGTATGTAACCCTGCGACGCTCCATTAAGACGGGGGGAGGTTCGGTTGGGTTTTAGTAGGTAGTATTGGCTATGCTGGTGAGTCCCACATCTTGAGCCTAAAGACATTTCTCAACGTTAAAAAGAAATGAAAAAAAGGCTTGACCGATTTGGCAGATTTTTATAGCTACTAAACAAAAAAAAGAATAAAATCGATTGACAAACAGAGAAGACAAAGTTCTAAACTGTTTTGTCTTTGCCTATTTGCTTAGTATTATTTACTTAACCCGCGTTGAAACGTCAAAAATAAAAACTTTTTAACAAAAAAATAAAAACCGACTTCAAACAAAAGCACTAAAACGTAAAAAATAACTGATTGCTTTGTATAGCCTGGCACCGATTTCGAAAATATTTCATTAGGTATGTATTTAATAGGTAGGCTTTAATTATTTAGCCAAAGCACACCGACTTCGAAAATATTTGATTAGGTATGTATAGTAAATGAAAACTACCAATCAGTTATTTTTTACGTTTTAGTGCTTTTGTTTGAAGTCGGTTTTTATTTTTTTGTTAAAAAGATTTTATTTTTCCCTTTTTAGTGTAGACAGTAGTAGCAAAGTAAGAATTCTAAAGTGTTAGGCTTGTCAAACCAAAGAAAATAAGCCCAAACTCAAAGTATCTACTATTAGTCGTTGAAGAGTTCCACCCATCCACCTTTTGGCCTTACCATCAGATCAGATCAACAATACCGATCCACTGTACTATCAACGGAAATAGTAACACTTGCAAAGTTTCAAGTCAATATGGCAATTAGAAGTAGGTTAAATTCATTATTAGCTATTTTTCCACCCTTAGGGGTGGTATTTTTTTGGAAATTTGAATGGGACCAATCTGGAAGTATATCCTTTCAAACAAAACAAAAATTGTCCAAATCGGTTAATAAATGACGAAGTTCTGAGGTAACAAACATAAAAAAATACAGTCGAATTGAGAACCTCCTCATTTTTGAAGTCGGTTGAAAATATGAAGAATCAATATGATCCTTGAATAATCAATAATAGTCAATTGACCAATTATAACTAACACTCGGCCTTTCCTGATTTACAGATTACGACCTCATAATTTTACAACATAAGGAAAAATTAAAGGACAGTAATTATATTTTACTTAAATTTTTTTTTTATTCATTCCTATTTTAACAATTATTATTATCTATTGTCGGTTAAACACAGTAGCAATGATAGAAAATTAAATTAATAGTGTTAACACTTATGATTAAACCAGTCGGCCATCTTGATATTTATATTACGCCCTCGTAATGGCTGTACACATATTATGTTCATATTGACATGCACATTGGAAGCTTTTATGTTTTTCTTTTAATTTATTTTATACTGTCAACACAATCTGACACCAAGATTGTCATCTTACTACTACCGGACACACCGGCTAGTACTTTCTACATATGTGACTAACGGACACACCAAGATAGTCTTACCATTACATACCACCGGACACACCAGGCGAATATGTTCATATGTAACAAACGGACACACCAAGATTGTCACCCAAATAATTACTAGCGGACACACCAGGCTAGTACTTTCTACATACGACTATCGGACACATCAATATAGTCGCTAAATAAAACAACGTGTAAACAGTTTCTAATTTTACACAACTAATAAAAGCATTCAATAATTACTAAACATTCATGTGTGCATCTCAATTAATCAAAATTAAATTTAAATAATACCTTCTTTTTTCTAAACTTTATTAATTAATAATATTATTTAGTGTTGTTATTATTATATTATGTATAACCATAAAGAATATTAATATTAATATTAATATATATATATATATATATATATATATATATATATATATATATATATATATATATATATTAATTACTTATCTAAGCAATATTATTGTTTTATTATTTTATATATATAAGTACAAACTATTAGAATATTATTTATCCAAGCTGTGTTTTAAAAATATAGATATAATAATTTTTATAAAACTATTGACTACTAATTAAGTATAATCAAATTATTTTTATTTTTACTTTATATTTTAAATTATGTTGTTTATAATTTTTGTTAATTTTGTATTTTTTTTCAATTACCATAATTATTCCATAATATTATAAATGCTATGTACACTTGTAATTGATATGCAGGTCAGATTTTTTTTTTCACTTTAATTATTGTAATGAATTGTTTAACATGTATTATAAGTGTGCTTAATAATAAATAAATAAATTCAATTTAGATTGCTATTATTTAAAGTTAAAATTTTAAGCAACACTATATTGCTACCTTTATAGACGAAAATACTAATCAGAATTATTGTTATTATTGGGATATCCCACACAGTATAAACTACATCAACTGGTCCGTTATATTTGTTTTTGTTGTTAATTACAGGATTCCAAGATGGTAGCATCCAGCTATCTTCACTATGGAAGTTGATATTAACAGATAAACACGAAATTTTCTTATAGGTACCTAAAACAACGGCTATTGCTTCCGTGCTCATACGAATGATATTTTTGTTCTACAACCGTATTTTGATTACGAAGCTAGATTATTTGATAAGCAATGGGTTTTAATTCCCCGTTTAATTGTTTTTGAAATAATATATCGCCAACGCCATGACTTGACACGTCTGTATGTAATTCGGTCTCAAATTCAGGATTGAATATTGCAAGGAATGGCTCCTATACTAAAACAGTTTAGATGTCATCAAATGATTCTTATTGCTCATCCCCCCAGTGGCATAGTTTATTAGATTTTAGCAACATTTAAAGGGTGTATCCTATTAGCAAAATATATAATAAATTTTCGAAAATAACTAGGCAAGCCTATGAAACGTCTTAAATCATGAAGATTCGTTGGTTTTGCATATTCATTAAGTGCTTTGACTTTTTCAGGGGATGGACGAATCTGACCACTAGTTACGACATGTCCTAGATACTCAACTCGTTTTATAATGAACATTTATTCCGACGTAATACTATCTCTAAATCACATTCTCCTTGTATGATTATCAAAACCATGGCTAAATTTTGTAACAAATTATCGAAATGAATGATATTATAGTCTCTTAAATCAGTGTCAAGATTTATTTTAGGCAAACCATTACAAACCATATACAATTTGTAGAATGAGTGACTAATATTGTAAATTTATTACATTTATACCTATTATAAGAAATATTTCCGTGATTTTGTAATTTGTTCAGGAATATCTACTTCTTTATCCAAAGACCTATGTTCCGAACGTTGTATGTGTATACTGTGTGTGTCCAAGTCCTACTTTTATTTATCAGTTTCATAAGGATCATTACTAATTATTAAAACCGACGTGTTAACACTAACTCCATCTATATTCAATTTTAATAAGCTTTCACCTTTTGGCGCTATAACTTTACCTGCATGCCCTTTCATACTAGTATTACACTGATATTATACGATAAGTTAATTTTAATTGCATCAGAAAATTTCATAGTATTACAAGCACTACCCAAAACGATGTACGCGCTTAATTCAATACAGTTTGCAATGACACTCTTATATTTACGGCCAACTATATCCATAGGATGAATGTGAAATAGTTTTGATTTTTCCTCTTCCGATTTATAATTTTTTTTTTGGACATTAGCACATCACCATCTAATTCCATGGTAAGCTATGAGGCTTGTGTTATGGATACCAGATAGTTAATATACTACACATATATAACTTTAAATACATATATATTATATATAAACACGCATGAATGGAGTACAAACATTCATGTTAGTCACACAAATGAATGCCCCCAGCGAGACTCGAACCCGCGACAGCTGGCTACAGC